AACACTGCATTAAATTAAGCATAAAATTCTAGATTAAGACAGGATACCAGGGTCATTGTTTATGCTTCAATGGAGAGTTCATAGAGTATACATGATAATAAAAATTTAACACCTTGTTTTACTTTCATCTGATACTCTCATTCATGTTTTGGACATACTTACATTTTAGCTCAAGTTTGATGAAATCTGAATTCCCCCGATTCTCAAGGAAGACTCCATCAGGGGCTGATGTTTTGAAATAGAATGAAATGTCAGCATTGGTCTCTCCTTGGAAGGTAGAGAAATGAAGATAGGAAGATCGAGTAACAAATGATGCAGAATTCCAATAATTCTCTGTAAAATATAAAAATATAGTTCTTTTGAGTTATGTGCTACTTAAAATTAAACAAAATGAAAAATACTTTTTACAAATGATCAGAAAGCTGAGGTTTGAAATGGGAAGCATGTTATCATATTTGTCTTCTATACAGAAAATATTTTAATTAAAATATTAATAGTTTGATTCTTTTATTGATAAATAATTGCAGCTTAATATTGCCTATAATTTAATGGCATGGTTGCTGTTCATAATATATATTATATTAGAAAACTCTACTTGCACTTAATAAACAAGAATACTTTTTACTTAGCTGCCAAGTTAATGGAAGCTTTCATCTGTTAAATCATACCTGAAACAGGAATCTGAAGAGATTAATTGAATTCATGAAAGTCAACATTGCATCCTTTTGTGATGAGATTTTATGAATTCCATTACAATTACATTAAAGTTAAAATTCCCAGTTCAGGTATTTTTAGATAAACTATAGTGAGAAGAAAGCAAAAAGGCAGTTCTATGAAATCTTGAAGTCTAACAAATGCAGTATATTTGATGTTTAGAGAGTTTATAGACAGATTTCTTAGAAACCCTCAAACTTTACAAATTGAATTAAAAAACAAAACAATGTAAAATATAACTAGAGGCATAATATTATAAGGAGCAAACTTGAATATCAGTTCTAACCAATTACACAGAAGAAATGTATATAGAAAGATATTAAGGCTTTAGCTATTATATCTTATCACAATGAAAGTAAATAAAGTTCAACTCAGTTTACTTAGTTATCACATAAATTATGAGGTTAATTGTCCATCTAATATTATAGCACTTTAACGATGTTAAAGTAGACTTTTATTCAGAAAGGACTAAGAAAGAGGACTTTGAAAAAAGGAATGACCTAGAGGAAAGAGGCAAGAGACTGCAAGGATAAATAACCTAAGACTTGCAAACAATGCTAAAAATAACTCCCTAAGTTTATTTCAATATGTAAGGAAGAAGAAGAAAGTCAAGGAAATAATGTTATTGGCTGCATCAAGAAAGTGAAAGTATCAAGTTACGTGAAGTGATAGTACCACTTTATGCTACTCTAGTAAGACCACACTGAAATACCATTCCTCCATCCAGGAGGGTGCATATTACAACTTCCAGAAACTCAATTTTTTTATATGAAAAGAGTGACTTCATACATTTTAATAGCCGTGAATGAAATAAAGATTATATTAGAGAGAAGATGACTAAACAAAAATGCATTTTAAGAGTGAGCAAATAATATTGTCTATAATATTACATTATGACCTAATTTCTTTGAAAAGTATAGTGTCATGGTTCCGACAGATGAAACTCTTCAAAAGAGTTTAAAGAATCTTTTATTTGAGAAACAAAGTCGAAACCAAAAACTAAATTCCCCTCTCCTGGATACAAAGTAATAAAGCACAATTCCCTCCTCCAATTAACAGCCATAAATCACATTCCCCAATTAGCTTGAAGTGTGGGCTTTCTCCCCAGCTCTCCAACCCGCCAAAACTCTATCAACTCTGGGCCCAATGACCTTGGATTTCCATGGCTGAGTTATTATTATTATGACTAGCTGGACTCTCATCCACATTCCCCCTCCCAGCATCAGCTAACTCTAAAAGCAATAGAGAAAAATGGCTGCATTTCCATCTGTTGTCAAAGCAAGAACATCCGATGTTAGCAGCATTGACATCCAGCCCCCCTTTTAAAAAGAACAAATGCTGTAATGCAAACAAAAGCACAGGTTAGGGGTTGCCTCTTGGTTTGTTAGGGTGTTTCTTATAGAACCTATTAATGAGTCTGTCAGCTTTTACATCGCTAGATTTCACCCAGATGGCCTCAGACAACGGATATCCCTTCCATTGCACTACGTTCTGCAATTTCCCTTTAAAAATTGTTGAATCAAGAATATGCTTTACTTCACAGTGAGTCTGTCCTGCCACTACAAGAGGTCCACGGAGGTCTTAAGGTGGAATCCCGAAAAGGTTTCAACAAGCTACAGTGGAAAACAGGGTGAACTTTCCCTAAGAGCCTGGGAAGCTTTAGTTCTATAGTGACTGGGTTAATGATCTTTACAATGGGGAAGGATCCTAAGTACTTCAGTCCTAACTTTTTACTAGGTAACTTAAGCTGTAAATATTTGGTGGACAAATAAATCTTTTCCCCAACTTGGAATGTCCTTTGAGGAGCCCTTGTTTTTTCTGTCTGTTTTTTTGTATGTCTTGGAAGCCTTTTTCAAAGCAGTTTTCATGGTTTTCCAGACTTCTTCCCCCCTCTCACCCATTGATCAAGAGTTTGGGAAGCAGAGGGTCCTTAAAGATATTCAGGTATTGGGCTGAACTCTTTTCCTGTGGCCACTTTAAAAGGCATGAAGCCGGTGCTGCTGTGAACAGAGTTATTGTAAGCCACCTCTGCGAAAGGGAGGAGGTCAGTCCAGTTCATTTGTTGATAATCCACATAGCACTGAGTTCGCAGATTCAGCAGTCCCATTGGTAGATGGGTGAAAGGCCAATGATAGTCCTTGAGATGAGCCAATTAGTTTAAGAAAACTCATCCAAAACTTAGCTGTAAACTGCATTCACCTATCAGAGATTATTCGTTTTGATATGCTATGCAGTCTGTAGATGTGTTTCAGGAACATCTTGTTTAGTTGTTGGGCAGACGGGAGCCCTTTGCAGGCAATAAAGTGACCCTGCTTTGAAAACAGATCTATCACAGTCCAGATGACCATATTTCTCCTACTTTAATGTAGGTCTACTATAAAATCCATAGCAATTTCTTCCCATGGTTGGGAAGGGCTGCCACTGATTGTAATAAACCAGGGGTTTTCCCCGGAATTCTTTTCATGGTGGCACAAAAGCACAACTCCGGACATAGCCTTCTGTGTCCTGTTTCAACCCTGGCCACCAAAATTGTTGATGGATGAGGTGAAGTGTTTTTAAATATCCAAAGCGCCCACCCTGTTTTACATCATGGCCGTGATGGAGGGCTTAAGGTGGAGGGTCTCAGACAAGTACAGCTTTCCCCCTTTGTAAGCCAAATCATCCTTGCAAGTTAGGGAGTGACCCATCTTTTTTTTCTTTAAATAACACTGGGGCTCCCATGGCAGACTTGGCCAGTTCAATAAATCCCCTCGCTAGGTTCCTGTCCACATACTGCTGCATCTCTTCCATTTCAAGGGGGAACATATCATACAATCTTGGTCGTGGGAGTTTGGCTCCCGGTAACAGTTTGATAGAGCAATCATTGGGTTGGTGGGGAGACAAGGTGTTGCATTTTTTCTCACTAAACGCCTCTGCTAGGTCCCGATACTCGGTGGGGATGAGTGGCTCACTTGGTTGAGACAAGGCAGCTATTTGCGCTAGCTCATTGGGTGGGCTAAGTTCTCCTATAATGTCCATTGAGTTAAGGGGGGTTTGGGTCTTATAGGTAACCTTACAGTCCTCATTCCCTTCTCCCACCAGATAAATGGCTTCCATTTGTCTAACCAAACTAGCCCTAGGATCACGGCCTCAGTCATTTTTAGAGCCACCATGAAATGAATGTACTCTCAGTGCTCACATATTTCTAAGTATAGGGGTTCAGTCAATGGCCCATTAGGGAGCCATTGGCTTGCTCAAACCTCACGGGTTTGGAGAGCAGCCTTGCTCATATGTCCATTTTCAGAGCAAGTGACAAGCTAATAATGCACTGGGAGCATCCAGAGTCGAGTAGTACTTTCAAATCTACCTATGCCCCCGTCTTAGGGATTATGAGTTTGGCAGGTAGTGAAAAAGGTGGAATGTGTCGACTCACCATCAAGTCGTTCTCTCCTTCATCGTCATTGTCGTGGGAGGGTAGAGCAGTGGTAGGTCCAGCTTGGGTCTCAGCATTCTCCTGTGTGGGGGATGTGACTTGGGCAATGGGTTCCTGTGCAATCCAGTTGGATTTCTCTTCCGCCGGCTGCTGGGCTGGTTTCTTTCTCGCTGGTGGTCCTGGTCTATTTTGCTGTTGAGGGTAAGGGACTGCACAACTTGCTGCTCGATGTCCCAGTTGTCCACATCTGAAGCACTTGATCAGTGGGCTTGCAGGTGGCCTGGGATTTTCAATAGCTGTGGTGGTTGGAGGCATTTGGGGGTGTGGCTGCCATTTGGGTTGATCTAGCCTTGGCTCAGCTTCTTGTGGAAGTGGCTTTGTATAGCAAGCAAGCTGGATGTCCAGTCTTACTGCTGCCTGGTACCATTCTTGCACTAATTAGGGACTGCTCGATAAACACAAGCTTGGGACAGGTGGTCATCTAGTCCCTTCTTGAAGTGATGGACTACGGATTGCTCGGGCCACCTCTCTATTTGGCCAGCTATCATGCAAAACTTTTGTACGTATTCCAGTGCAGGCCTGCCGGCTTGCTTTATCTTGTGGACTTGCTCCTCTGTTTTGAGGGCAATGGATGGGTCCTTGAACCTTGGTCTCAGTCCTAGGAGGAAGAGATGGAAGTACCCCAACACGGGTGCTTGCTCGTTGTATAAATTGTTCAGCCACTCGGATGCTTCCCCTTCCAAGCTGGATGCAACCACATTAACAATAGTGGCTGGGTTAGGGTAGAAATAGGCACAGCAGTTCAAGTGAGAATGCATCTGGTTGAGGAAAAAGATCAGTTTCTCTGAGTCTCCATCGAAGGTTGCTCTAAGAGATGGCGCCATCAGAGGTTGCTACGCTCCCCAGGGAGCCTGCATTCCTGGTGGTTGGTGGCCTCCCCACTGTGGATGTTGCATCCCCAATGGTTGCTGACTTTCCCATGGTGGCTGCTGCATCCCCAGTTGCTGCAGGCCTCCCAGTGGTTGTTGCACATTCGGTGGCTGTTGCTACCCCCACTGCTGCTGACCTGCATGCGGTTGTGGCATCCCCAGTTGTTATAGCTCCCCCTGCAGCCCTGGAGGTGGTTGTTTCTGTATCCCCATCAGTTGCAGGCCCCTCCGTGGTTGCTGCACATTTGGAGACGGCGGCCAGCTCCACTGCTGCTGCTGTACTACCCCCAGTTGCTACAAGGCCCCCATCTGCTGCTGCACATTTGGGGGCTGTGGCCACCCCCAGTTCAGTTGCTGCGATGCTGGCCTCCCATCTGTGGGGGCTGCGACACCCCCCATTTCTATATGGGCCCTGGGCTGGGTTGCATAGATCTGGGCTTTGGCTGTCCCGGTGATGGCTCAGGCTCTTATCTCACCGCTGGCGATCTGGGCTTTTGGAGGGGTGATGACTGGAGCTGTCTCTCCCTGTGGAGCTGGAGGCCATGGTAGGTGGCTTCAAGAATGGGGAAGCTGCTTGACCTGTCAGGTGGGACTAGGACTTTCCCTTGGCATGAGTTGGTGGCTGTCTCACCGATCATCGTGATTGCTCGCGTATGGAGAATGGGAGGGTTGTTCTCCACTTTTTATCTCTAGCTCAAATCTTTCCACCAACTTCTCCACTGATTGATTATGGACTGTGGACAGGTACTTCCACTCACCCAAGTCGTCAGCGGTAGTCAATTTTGTGGTTCTCCACTGGTCCGGGGACTGCGACTTGTGGGAAATCCCTCCTTGCAGCTCGACCTCATCCGTCTTCAAAGCACTTGATTATGGCAAGGCCGTCTTGAGGTGTCTAGAGACTCCACTGGGTAAGGTCCATTCTGACGATCAGATCAGCTGTCCTCACAGCTTGAGTCTTGTCCCCATCTGAGAGACCTGAAAAAGTTCCTTCTCCACTGGCATACTGGCCTGTGCTCCCTCCTCTGCTGGGGTGCTGGTTTGAGGTGCTCCTTTCTTCTCCATGTTGAGATCTTCCCCGAATCTTTGTTGATCTATCCCTCAATTCTAGGGACAGTGATTGGGGCTCGGAACCCCAAGATAGTTAGATAAAAATTTTTGGTTTAATGTCATGGTTCTGACAGATGAAACTCTTCAAAAGAACTTCGAGGCATTGTTTACTTTAAAGAATATTTTATTCGAGAAACAAAGTATCGGCACTACATAGTTGAAACCAAAAACTAAATTCCCCTCCCCTGGATACAAAGTAACAAAGCACAATTCCCTCCTCCAATAAACAATCATAAATCACATTCCCCAATTAGCTTGAAGTGTGGGCTTTCTCCCCAGCTCTCCAGCCTGCCAAAATTCTATCAACTCTGGGCCCAATGACCTTGGGTTCCCATGGCTGAGTTATTATTGTTATGACTAGCTGGACTCTCATCCACATTCCCCCTCCCAGCATCAACTTACTTTAAAAGCAATAGAGAAAAATTTCCATCTGTTGTCAAAGCAAGAACATCTGATGTTAACAGTGCTAACATATAGATTTGAGTTTAGATGGAATGTGTCTAAAGGTTGAATTAATTATAGATATGGGGAAAATATCAATCAGAATAAAGCTGGAAGGGACATTGGAGATCTTCTAGTCCAGCCCGCTGCTCAAGCAGGAGTCACTATATCATTTCAGACAAGTGGTTGTCCAGTCTCTTCTTTAAAACCTTGAGTGATGAAGGACCCAGAATGCCTGAAGGCAAGCTGTTCCACTGGTTAATTGTTCTCACTGTTAGGAAGTTTCTCCTTAATTCCAGGTTGCTTCTCTCCGTTGTTTCTTGTCCTGCCTTCTGGTGCTTTGGAACATAAATTGACCCCCTCCTCCTTTCTGAAATACTGCTGTCATGTCCTTCTTTTCTTTAGACTGGCCATTCCCAAATCCTGCAATGTTTTTCATGTTTCAGTCTCCAGGCCCTTAATCATCTTAGTTGCTCTTGTTTGCATTTTTTTTTCAAAGTCTCAACATCTTTTTTATAATGTGGTGACCAAAACTGGATGCAATATTTCAGATATGGCCTAACTAAGGCTTTATAAAGCTGTACTAATACTTCATGTGATTTTTATTCTATGCCTCTGTTTATGCAACCAAGCATTGTATTAGCTTTTTTGGATGCTACCACACACTGCTGATTCATGTCTTCATCCACCAAAACTCCAAGGTCCCTCTCACAGTTATTGTTTTTGAGCCAGGTTTTGCCTAATCTGTACTTGTACCTTTCATTTTTCCTGCCTAAATGTAAAAACTTGCTTTTCTCCACATTAAATATCACTTTGTTACATCGGGCCCATTGTTCACATCTGTCAAAAACTTTTTGGATTTTAAGCTTGTTTTCTGGGGTGTTGGCTATTCCTGGCAGCTTGGTGTCATCTACAAATTTGATGCGATCCCCTTCAATTCCCTCATTTAAGTCATTTATGAAGATATTGAAGAATACTGGGCCTAAGACAGAACCTTGTGGTTCTGTCCCCCACTGCTTACTTCCCTCCATGTAGATGAAGTACCATTAAGGACTACTCGTTGAGTACAGTTTGTCAGCCAGTTATCTGCTGGTGATGCTGTCAGTCCCACATTTTTCTAGCTTATCAAGAAGTGTGGTCTACTTTGTCAAATGCCTTGCTGAAGTCTAAATATATTATGTCCACAGCATTTTGCTGGTCTACTAATTTAGTTACTTTGTCAAAGAATGAAATAAGATTGGTTTGACATGATCTGTTTTTAACAAACCTGTGCTGGCTACTAGTTATAACTTTGTTTCTAGAGTTTTAAAGTAGGGAAAAACAAAGTTTTACATTTAGGGAGGAAAAATCAAAGATATAAGTACAGATCAGGGGAGACCTGGTTTAAAAACAGTAACTAAGAGAGGGACATTGGAGTCCTAGTGGATGATCACTTGACTATGAGCCAGCACTGTGTAGCAGCAGACAAATAAAGCTAATACAGTCCTGGGTTGTATAAACAGAAGAACAGAATCAAGATCACAAAAAAGTATTAGTACCACTTTCTAAAACCCTAGTAGTGAGACCACACCTGGAATGCTGCAACCAATTCTGAGACCTTGTAAAAAGGTCAGAGAAGAGCAAGTAAGATGATCAAAGGCCTGGAGACTAAAACATATGAAGAATGGCTCCAGGACTTGGCTAGTCTAAAGAAAAGAAGAAATAGGAGTGACATGATAGCAGTGTTCCAATATTTAAGGAGCTGCCACAAAAAAGAGGTAGTCAAACTATTCTCCAAAGCACCTAAGTCAGGACAAGAAACGATGATTGAAAACTGACCAAAGAGAGAAGCAATCTGGAATTAAGAAGAAAGTTCCTAACAGTGAGGAAAATTAACCAGTGGAACAACTTTCCTTCAGAAATTGTGAGCGCTTCATCACTGGAGGTTTTTAAGAAGTGACTGGACAGTCACTTGTCTGAGATGGTATAGGTTCTCCTGCTTGAGCAGGGGGCTGGACTAGAAGATCTCCAAGGTCCCTTCCAGATTCTATTCTATTCTATTCTATTCTATTCTATTCTATTCTATTCTATTCTATTCTATTCTATTCTATTCTATTCTATTCTATTCTATTCTATTCTTGTCCACAGATGTTTTTTATTATTTTTTCCAGTATCTTCCCAGGTATTGATGTCAGGCTGATTGATCTGAAGTTTCCTGGGCCTGTTCCCCCCTTTTTTTCCAAGATGGAAATTGATTAATTGATTAGCAAAGAGTTAATCTATTTCTTCTGCTTGTTTGGGTGGCCTGTAATATATTCCTATAGCAATGTCATTCTTTTTCCTTTTTCGCGGGTATTTGTATGTAGGTCTTTGGTTGTTCGGGTTTTCTCCCACGTAAAATTGGAAGTGTCTTGGCGACGTTTCGACGAAGTCCCATTCGTCATCTTCAGGCTGGTGCTTTCAGCTTTGTGCTTTGAGCAGCAATGTGTGGTCTTAGCTGTTTATTCCTTCTAACTGCCAGTGGGGGTATGAACAGATTGGGTGGGAGCTTGGCTGTGTTCTGATTGGGTAGAGGTGTGTTCTGAATGGTTAGGGGCTTGGCTGTGCTCTGATTGGCTGGGGGAGTGTTCTGTTTGGTTGTGCTCAGGTTAGTCTGAGTTGCAGAGGGGTTTAAGATTTTGGGCTGCCTTGCTATTTTCTGGCTTCGCGTTCGTGGTCGTGTCTCCTCTTCATGGAGGGTGTCAGTTTGCTTCATGTATGGATTGGAGGGGTTTAAAGTGGCTAATGATGCAGCTGTGGTCTGGCTTCTGGTTTGTGGTCGTGCCTCGTCATCGGTGTGGCTTTGGGTTTGTTTTTTGCGTGGATGTGTGGTGGTGACATCCTGTGTGGTTTTTGTGAGTGTGGGTCTGGTATCATTTTTTGTGTTGGGGAGTCGTTTGTCAATAAGGGCGGGTTTCCAAATGGCTGGTAGGCGGGAGGTATCATCTCGCTTGTTCATGCTGTGTGGGCGTTTTTCTATCTTGATGGCTTCTCTAAGAAGAGCTTCCATTTTATGCGACCTCGCATTCCTACGCAACTGCCGAGATCAAAATCTAATCCCCACATGTTTCCAACTGAAATTCCACTCCAACTGTTAGAATCCAATTATATTTCATCTTTAAATTATCAAATATAGAAACTCCCAATTCTGCCTTCTCTGGATTCTGCCATAAGAGGGAGAGAAGGGGGAGAACAAAGGGGCTTTATGGCCCTCACTTCCTTCTTTACACTTCAAAGAGCTGAATGCTGAATGTGTGTTTATTGTAACCTCGAAGCGTTAACATACCAAAGAGGGTAGTTGCCTTTCATGTAGTTATCTGAAGTCCCCATGCAGACGGAAGAAAGAAGAAAGGGGGTGGAATTGTGATACTTGAAACTATCACTGGAAGGGGGGTTGATTGGGTGGGACTACTGGGGAACCCCTTAAAACCTTGAATGGAAGAGCTTGAACCCCAAGTCCTGTCTAGCATGCCTGCAACCATTTTCTCTTAATAAAGGATTCCTGTTGGAAGAATTATTCCAAGAGTTCTGTCTTCTTAAGATGCAAAGTGGGGTGGGTCCTTACATTAGACAGGACTTGCAAAATTAATCCACCTGGAAGGGAGACCCTTGCCGGGGGATTTTGCAAAAAATTTACCATGTCAGACAATGGAGAAAGAGAGGGGGAAAACTCCCTGGAAAGAGAGCCGCTGACCCAGTTGGAACCTTGCCAGATGTTGGGATCTGAGAGGTCAGATTCCTCGGGAGAAGAAGTGGTGGAGACACAGGACCACAAGCCTCGCTGGTTGATGAACGTTGGAAAGAAAAGTGAGTGGAGAAAGGAATCAAGAAAGGTGACCCTGACACGGGGGACAAAGCAACCAGAATGGAAGCAGGAGATGGAGAAATC